TTTTGGACCTGCTGCCTCTGTCTTGGGCTGTCCCCTGCAACCCCAGTACCTGCTAGGCCTAATACTAGGCCACAGCCTGGGGCTTTCCTGGCTGGAGCTCCCTAGCTCCTCAGGTGCTTCCCCAGCCCTGCTCCAATCTCAGTATTCTGCTTCAGGCCCTACAGCCAGGTCCCTCCCTCTCAGAAGCTAAAGAGAGTATCTCTTCTGTTCCTGGCATCCCTGGCTTTTATAAGGCACAATGGGTCTGTTCGGGGCATGGCCCCCAGCTGCGGCTGCTCTGCCAATCAGCCCAGCTCTTCCCCTGCCCCAGCCCTCTCCCAGGGCTATCTTAAACCCATCTGGGCCTGAGCGAGCATCCACCCTGCTACAAGACAGAATACTTGACTATGAGGTGGACTATTGATTTGATCTGGTATGGCAAAACCTGTATTTCAATCAGTTGTTCCTGCTGAACTATTTGGCAATGAGAGCTGGGTTTTCAATTGTATATGATGTCAACTAAATAATCACAGATCACCTAACTAATTAGCTTTGGTTAGTAAATATTTTTACGCTCAACCTAATTATTAGCTAAATACAGTTTTATTGTGTCTGTAGCTTACTTGTATCCTTTTTATGTTGTGTTCTAGATAGGGGAAAAAAGCTTTAGAACAGATAGGGGTATTGGTTGATGCTGAGTAACTTATCCTGTGTTACACTGCCATTTCAGGGGACCCCTTGCCAGCAGCACCCTATGTGCGTTTTGCCTCGGATTTCTTTCTACTTGTTGTTCTTTTTGGCCTTATAGGCCATTGTTTGAAAGAAAGGGAAAAATTGTTACAAATTGTAGCCTGTGTTATAGAGGTCAGACTAGGTTATCATAATTTGTCCCTTTTGGCCTCCAAATCTATGAAAAAATGTAAATAAGAGGCATAGGTGCCAACTTTCCATTGTGCCGGGGCGTGCTCGACCCCAGACTCTGCCCCAGGCCCCGCTCCCCCCCACCCCTTCCCTTAAGACTATATCCCAGCCCTGACCCACTTCTTCCTACCCTGCCCCTTCCCCTGAGCATGCCGCATCCTTGCTCCTCCCCACTCCCAGCCTCCTGCAGGCCATGAAACAGCTGACTGCAGCAGGCAGGAGGCATGGGGAGGAGGAGCTGATCTGCAGGGCCCACTGGCAGGCAGGCAGGAGGTGCTGGGTGTGGGGCGGAGAGGGAAGTGCTGGAGGGTGCTCAGCACCCACAATTTTTTCCCCATGGGTGTTCATAGCCCCAGAGTCAGCACCTACGATAAGAGGCATCGTGTATGTTAAGGACTATGGATCAAGGTGTAACTGAGAGGGAAAAAAAACCTTGTTCTGAGTGTTTGCAAAAATACCGTCAGGTTTTAAAATGTAGAATTTTCAGTTGACCGCTCAATTAAGTGTGCAATTGCTCATGCAAATTTCCATTTCCAGTAGTACTAGTTCTTATTTAAATTACTCATACAAAATATTTTTATTTGAGCATGCAACTGCTCAAGCATCGGTACCATATTTAGTGCTTAAAATACAGCCTTGCTATCTTTCACACCAACATAATTTCTTATTTAACAAAACCAGTAGGGAATTACTTAAATTTATTTTTTCTCTTACACAGCATGTCTCATCCATAAGATGGGAAAATTTCCCACAGGAGGTACCACAGAGTCATATGTAGTACTTGCTTGTAGAAGTTTGCGGGGAAAAGTCCCACCCTTTTCCAGTCCTCTTCTGATTCAGCAAAAGTGCTGATGCAATTAGAACCCACAACTAGATTTTTTTTGGAATCTTGAAACTTATCACAGGCTAAAGAGCTGCCTGTTGGCTATTGTTGAAGATAAATGGACAGATCAGCCAATCAGACACAGGTGAGAATGACCATTCTGGGGGCAAAAGGTGTTTTGTGCCTCCTGGTTAGATGCACAGACCTGTTCTTTTGATTTAAAAAAAAAAAGTTACTTTATTTCCTCTTTCAAGGATTAGAAGTAAACAATATTAGGAAACGAGAGGGAAGAAAGTACTGTACTACAAGTAAAAGAGAATTGTCACTATACTTTAGGGACAGATCTTGCATTCTTTGTGCATCCAAAACTTCGTTTGAAACTAATTTGCCTAAGTAAGGACCACAAGATTTGCCCTAAGAAAATTAGAAACAGGACTGAATTGAGAGGGTTTAATAAAGATCTCCTCTGTGGAAAAAAAAGGGAGGCTGAGAAGGATTCTTTGTAGGCAGGGCCTTTTATGTGCTCAGTTTCTATAGTGTTTATAGGTAGGTGAAACAAGCGCTCTCCAATTACTAGTGACAGTTTGGTGGCATGCGAACCCAGCCATGTGACTCTGTATACTGTGAATCTGCCAAGGCAATATATGCAGAAAACCCAAGCTGGTGAGAACATTTAAAAATTAAGTTTGAGAATTTGTTTATAAGGTTGAGCTTGAAAGACTGCATCAAAGGGAAGACCACAACACACAATGGGAAAGTGTCTGAATAATAAATAGATTTAAATTTGATTTTTTTTTCTTTCTGTGGCCAGGACTTGGTTTGGGTGAGAGAGTACATTTTTTTTCAATTTCCTGAATTCTTAATTTGAGATCAATGCTATCATTTAAAAAACCCTAAACTATCCTGAGAAGTAGAAGCCTGATCCAGCAAGATGCTAGAGTCCTCCTCTGTAAACACAACATCCTCAGCTCTTTCTAACATAAATGGGAGCTAAGAGTGTTTAGGGCAGTGCGGGCGTCCGTGCCTGCGGACAGTCAATGTAAAACTGTCTTGTGGCCTGCCAGCGGATTACCCTGATGGGCTGCAGGTTGCCCACCACTTGTTTAGGGTGATCATATTTCCCAAAAACGAAAATGGGACACAGCCAGCCGCTCACCTGAGGCCCCCCACAATGCTGTTGCTGGTCGCTGGAACCCTGTGGGCCCCTCCCCCCTGGAGCAAAGCTGTTGCCCCTGGCTGGAACAATGTGGGGGGCCCCTGCATGCTGGAACACTTCCTCTCCCTCCCAGCCCTGCCTCCCCTGCTGCAGGGGGCTGGCATCTCTGCTTGCCCCCCACATGTTCTTCCACACCACACCCTACTTTTTTGACAAAAGTGAGCATTTGTCCTATTTTTGCTTACCAACTAATCAAATCAACAAGAGCAAACCGGACAAATTCCTCCTTTTGAAAAAGAAGTCGGGATGGCTGGACAGGGCTTAAAAAAGGGACTGTCCTGGCCAAAATGGGATGTCTGGTCACCCTAGTGTTCAGGATTGGGCCCAAGGAGATGTGAACATGACAGGAGCTAGACTCCGATATTCTAGACTTCCCTCCCTCCCATCTGTGACATCATGGAATGCCACAGCATTTTCTCTGGTTGCAAAGCTCCTGACTGGGAGAACAGCACTATTGTATTCAGAGCAAGAGACAGAGCATTAATGATGTAACTAAAGCAATATCAAAAATTTTATAATAAAGACTGCAATTCGACTTTCCTTGTAGCTTTTACTGCCTCCAGTAAAGGCCTATTAGCCAACTGCAACAAAGATTTTATTTGAGAGAGATTAGTTACAAACTAGAGAATGTGCCATCACATTAACACTTACTTTTCTTGAACAACAGACTCTGGACTATGGTGTAACTTCTCAAATTCTCTCTGAAGTGTTTAGCAGTATGCATGGAAGCAGTTAAACTAGAATTAGATTTCCTTGCTTTCCCATTTGCTGCGTCAGGGATAAAAGACAGCAACCATCAGGTAAGTGAAGAGCAAATTTATTTGCAAATCCAAAAAAAATCTGGACTATTCACAGACGTAGAAAAAGAAATAACAACCAAGCTCTCAAAAGTAATGATCAAACAATGTTAAAGAAGCAGTTTAAAAATAATGAAAAACCCAGGAGGTAAAAAATTCTATTATATCTATTATAAATAAATACTAATTACTTAACTAAATTATCATACTATGAAATAGTCTTACAACTTTATCTTAAAGATCTTCTGTACTTTCCACAGTATGCATCCGATGAAGTGAGCTGTAGCTCACAAAAGCTTATGCTCAGATAAATTGGTTAGTCGCTAAGGTGTCACAAGTACTCCTCTTCTTTTTGCGAATACAGACTAACATGGCTGTTACTCTGAAACCTAACTTTATCTTTCTTTAGGAGCTGGTGGTCTATCAATCCTGTAACCTAACAGATTCAAGGCTGGTAGTCTTTGCTTCCAAATTCTCTCTGGGTTAGTACAACTGCCTTTTCTACGTTTAAGACAATCCTGGTTCTTTGTGGGTCAGTGGTAGTTTGCCATTGAATCCATTAGGACCAGGATTTGGCCCAGAAAAAAACATCCCCAGTTACTGAACACTTAAACATGAATTTAAATCTCAGTGTATGGGATTTAAGTGCATATTTAACTTTTTTTGAATTTAGTTTAAGTGAGAAAATTCATTCCTCCGTCATCAGTTGCAGGATAGTTGATTGTGTCGCTAGTTACTGCAACAGTTCAACATGTTCTCTCAGTAGGTTTTTGGTAACTATTTCAGTGTGTCCACAGCATTTATAGCCATGGTTATACTAGGTATGGTCCTGGGATCCAGTGTTTTAAAGAGGAAGTTTATTAATAGCCCCAACTGGCCTAATGAGAACAGGCTGGGGGCAGGTGCCACCTTCCTGTCCTGCTTCACTCCCCCTTTGTCCTTAGTACTACACAGACACGGTGGGTGAGATAATAGCTTTTATTGGCCCCATTTCTGCTGCTGGGAGAGCCAGGCTTTGGAGCTGACAGAGTTCTTCTGGCCTGGCTCTCAACAGAAGTGGGTGGGTCCAATAAAAGCGATCACCTCGCCCACCTTGTCTGTCTGCTATCCTGGGCCCCACAGGGCGGCACCAGCCCTGCAACCACCTGCAGTGCAGCGTCCAGCCTGGTCCCACTCAGCTAATTGTTGCTGAATGTCCGGGGCGGCGACAGCCAGATCCCCAGTAGGGGCCCAAGGAAGCGCTGAGGGGAAGGGGAATGGCGGGGAGGGAGGTATCCCCGTTGGGCCCGGGCAGGCAACCCCCAGCGCGCTGGGTGGAGGCAGCCGCCCACTCCCGCAGCGCTGCTTGCCCCGACCGCGGCCCGCGGGGAAGCCAGAGCGCTCCCGGCCCAGCCCTGCGGGACAGGCCGCTCCCTGGCGGAGGAGAGTCCCCGCCCAGCGGCTGCCTGTCAGTGGCGGAGGCTGGCGCCGCCGTCCCGCCTCTCGGCTGCTGCTGCGGCGGCGGCGGCTCCTCCTCCCGGCGGGCAGCCCCCGCTGTCACCGAGCGCGCGGGCCGGGCGGCGCGGAGAGCGGGTGCCCCCTCCCCGGCGCCGCGTCCGCAGGCAGCCGGCGGGACCGGGCCGCCGTAGCCATGTTGAGGAGGATTTTGCAGCGGGTAAGAGGGTGACAGCGGCCGGCCCGGGCAGCCGCGTGGGGAGGCGGCTCCGCTTCCTGCTGCCAGCGGCGGCGGGTCAAGGCAGGGGGCAGGCGGCGCGAGTGGCAGCATGGCCCCCCCCCCGCCCCGCGCTCCGGCCTGTCTCCCCAGGCCCGGCTGCCTGCGGGCCCCCGCCCTGCCCCTTCGCGGGGGAGGCAGCACATTGCCTGCTAGCCGGGGCCCTCCCTCCACCCCCCTCCCGCTGTGGGGCAGCGTGCTGGGGGTACGGCCCGGCCGGGAGGGGGGATTCCTGTCTCCCCAGTGTTCAGTGCCAGGCAGTGACCCCCGGATCACCCCCCTCCCCGCACACACAGGTAGTCTGGGCTGGGCTGGGCAGGTCAGGTCCCCCTCGTGTGCCCCGGAATGTTTCTGCCCCGCCTGGTGCAGGCCGAGGCCAGGGAATCCGGCGGAGAGAGGGAGCGGAGGGATGCAGGCCCAGGACCCAGCTCCTCTCCACCTGACTCCTGCTGCAGTAGGTGGTGTCCGCCTGGTGCTGGGCTGGAGGCCCGTTCTCGTGTCAGGAGAGGGTTAATGGCAGGGCTCTCTGGCTGGGGGGTGTCGCTGCTGGGGTTGGGAGTCATTACTCACGCTCCTAAGTCTTGTGTTGTTAAACATTCATTTCTTACTCTCCCTCTGAAGCTCCCCGAGCCATTGTACACTCTCACACTCACAGAAGATGAAAATAAATTCAAGTCACACACATTCTGTAACTCAGACCCACAGTAATCCTGGGTAGTATATTTCCATCCTACTTCCCTCTGGGCTCTGATTAATAAATAAACTCTAAAGTCAGTTGAAATACAAATGCAAGCCAGGACACCAAAAACTACCAGCCAGCTGTTGCCTATTTTAGGAATTGGTTCCTGTGTAACTTTAGCTAGGTTTAAAAATCAACTTGTGCTATTTGATTCTGGACCCCATCTTTCCTTCTGCTCTCCTCATCTGCCTTTAAAAAAAACCTCAGTTGTTTACCTTGCTACTATGTTGGTGTGTTACCTGTCATTCTAATAGGTTGTTTGTGGTTTACATGGATGTTGACCATGCAGTATTAATGTGCAACAAAACATGGATGACAAACATGGTTGTCAAAAACATTTGGTTTCCACTGGAGTTGGATAACTGGTTCAAAGTGCAAAGGGAATGCCTTCATCTTTGGTGTTCAGCATTGGGATGTACAGAATAGAGTTGAGTCACCCAGCTAGTTGAAAGGGTGTGCTCTAATTCCCGCATAGCTTTCATGCAATATCAGTGTCATGTAGAACTTAGTCATGTATAAGTGGTGAAAATAGCCAACTTTGGTATTTGACACCAGCTTTGAAAATTGCCTGTTTTCACAAGCATATTTGTGAAAGGCTTTGAAGGCTTTTGAAGTTGTTGTTCTAATAATACTCTGTGTAAGGAACATGTATTGAAACAATGATAATAAATCCTTGTTATGTGTGGGAAGGAAGGATATCTGTGTACATACAGTATTGGTGTACTTTGAAGTATGGGGGGACTGATTTTTCTTGTGCCTCAGACTATTTCTGCCATAGTTTCTAATCAATCAAAGTTTTCCCCTCTGCTTATTTAAAAGTTACTGTTTACAAGGAGTAGTTTCCTGCCTGAAATATGGCTTACCTTATTAATTCTTTGGGAACAGCAAAAAACAGGGAAACTTTACTTTTGGTGCTGATCATCTTAGTTTTATTAACATTAGTTGTTCCTGGGAAATGAGCTGCTTTTAGAAAAACTTACACAGTTGTCGAATATGTGGCTGAAAATATAAATTTAATTAACATGATATTTTATAAAATCTAAGGCCAATATAAATGTTCCCACATTTTTAAAATTTCAGTGAAGACAGTTGTTTTTAAACAAACATTCCCTTGTCCTTTTTGAAACTCAAACTAGAACTAACTGTGAACAAAAATGAAACTGATTTCATTCATTTTTATTTTTCAAGTAGAAGGAAATACAAAATATAAACAAAAGGCATAATGACTATGTGAACTTTAAAAACCTTTCTTTTTCTTTGTTATTAGTAACATAAAGAAATGTTTGCTTACAACATATGATTAAGTTCACAGTGTCCCTTTAACAGAAAATTATGTTAAAATTATACAAACAGTTGTATGTTTGCATGGGTTACATTAGAAGCAGCTCCTGGTATATGATTAGGGCCCTACCAAATTCATGGTAATGAAAAATGCATCACAGACTGTGAAATCTGATCTCCCCTGTGAAATCTGGTGCCTATCTGGGCATAGGCACGGACTTCTACTCGCGCCGGTGGGTGCTCGACCTGCCCCTGGGCCCACCCTGACTCCACCCCTGCCCCCATTCCAACCCCTTCCCTAAAATCCCTGCCCCAACTCCACCCCTTCCCTGCCCCTATTCTGACTCCTTCCCCAAATCCTTGCCTCCTCCCCGCCTCCTCCCCTGAGCGCACCACCTCCCGCTCCTCCCTGTTCCCTCCCAGAGCTTGCTATGCCTCCAAACAGCTGTTTGGAGGCAACAAGCGCTGAGAGGTGGGCAGAGGAGTGGGGACGTGGCGCACTCAGAGAAGGAGGTGAAGTGAGGTGGGGCGGGGAGGGGAGCATGGCTGCCGGTGGATGCAGAGCACCCACTAACTTTTCCCCGTGGGTGCTCCAGCCCCAGAGCACCCACGGAGACAGTGCCTATGCCGCTGGGGCTCCTACCCTGTGCAGCACTTCGGCTGCTAGTCCCAGCAGAGGATGGGGAGAGAGAAGACTTCCTCTTTCCCTACATGAGCCACTCCCGGCGTGGGTCAGACCCACCTCTGGGAACCTGTCTGAGATGCAGGAAGCTGCACGACTTGAGCTGTCGCCACCCAGCATGGGAGAGGCTGTAGCTTGAGCTGCGGAGAGGCTGTGGCTTGAACTGTCTCTCTCTTTCTCACACACCCGTGTGGAGAGGCTGCAGCTCCAGCTATCAGCCCTCCATCCTGCTGGGAAAAACTGGAGATAGGGTAAAAACCAGCCCCCATTTCTGCGCTGCTGCTCGCAGTGGTGCTGACTTTAGAGCTGGGTGGCTGGCTAGCTCTGAAGGCAGCACCCCTGCCAGCAGCAGGGCAGGAGTAAGGGTGGCAATCCCACAATCTCCCTACAATTATATAAATTGTGGACCCTCCTCCCCCGACTCTTTTTTTTTAGTTAGGACCCCCATGGTTAGAACACCCGAAATGTCAGATGTAAACAGCTGAAAATATGAAATTGACTAATTGAAAAAAACCCTGGCCATGAAATTGACCAAAGTGGACCATGAATTTGGTAGGGCCCTATACTGAGTTGACAAAATATGAGGAAGACTCCTGACTTGCACTGAAGTTAATAACTATCCATAATTTTGTGCTCAGATTGTATGAATACATACTAGGAGTATAAGCTTTAAAAAGTGAGATTATATTCTGAAATGGCTAATTTAAAGCATGTATTGTTTTCTTCTATGCTTTTAAGCATGTGATATTTGTACACATTTGATTAATAATGAAGAAAATTATACAGCTTTTGCAGTCACTGAAACAGGTATATTTGTAATATTTTTTTTCTTTGTGGCCATTACTTGAATTCGGTTAATGTTCTTCTTCCTAAGCCAACAGGTAGTCACGGCTAACAGTATATCATGAATCCTGAAAGTGTGTAAAATAGGGAAATCCCCACCTTTGTAACCTCTCACTTTGCATAGCAATTATAAGACAGCAGCAACTGAAGCTTGAAAAGCACTGTTTTCATTTCATTAAGAAATTTGATCTTTTTCTTTGAAAAATATCGTTTCAATGGTTTTTTCATAATAGAAATAAACCAAATACTTGTTACTATTGATCATAGCTCATTTTAGTTTTTGAAGCTGGCGTAACCAATCAGGGGTGCATGTCTTTTTTTCATTCCCCTTTTCTTTTTTTAATCAAGATGATGTGTTGAATATAATGGCTTCATTATCTGTTGTGTATTGCATCCTGTGTCTTGTCTGTTTTTTATATATTGTCCGTTATAGCCTCCGGTCCTGCAATCATATTTGGATGGATGAACCTTTGCATTCATATGGAGCCCCATTGACTTCGTTGGGTCTCCATGTGGATGCAAGGGTCTGCCTGCGTGGATCTTATTGCAAGATGGGGGGTGAAGACTTTGTCCTTTGAGGCAGGAGCTGTTTCATTTTACCTGTCTGTAAAGCAGCTGGCATTCTTCAAAATAAGTAAATAATAATATTATACAGTACACTGTGTTTCACGTATGTGAATTAGTTTAAGTAATAGTATTGTGTAATCAATTTCAGTGGATAAAAAATGGTGTACTGAGGGCTTTGAATGATCTTACATAATGTTAATTTGAAATGTGAAATTACCTTTTAATAATTGGAAAATAGTCCTTTTCTCACTAAAATTCTGAAGGAAAAATGAGTTTGTGAGTAGGCTGCTTCTTCTTCTTCTTCTTCTTCTTTTTTTTTTTAAATAGCCTACACACCTAGTAAAAGAAAGGGACAAAGCTAATATCCTGAAAATTGCTCAGGAGCAGAGACTTAAACAAGCAGTGCTGTCTTTTTATATTTTGATTCTTGCATTTAATATTTGTTAGGGAATTCAGAATGATTGAACAATAGTAGCCTTGTGCTGTATTTAAATCTCTGCTTGGAAAATTGTGTAACTTCATGTTCATAATGTTTTTTTTTTCCATTTATTTTTAAAGAAGTTGAGTTAAATCTAATTTGAAAAATGTTTTAAAGGGCACCGCTGATAAGTTAGAGTACAGCTGTACACAGAGAAGTGACTGTAAAAGTGACATCGGGGTGATCCATATTTATATTCTCAGTGATTTCATGACAGGTTTCAGAGTAACAGCCGTGTTAGTCTGTATTCGCAAAAAGAAAAGGAGTACTTGTGGCACCTTAGAGACTAACCAGTTTATTTGAGCATGAGCTTTCGTGAGCTACAGCTTCACCGATGAAGTGAGCTGTAGCTC